CTTAAAAAAAAAAAAAAAAAAGTTGGTTCAGCTTTCAAGTCAAACAATGACACAAGTACTTAAATATCTTATCTCAGCTATGCAACAGGATTTATGAATTTATACTTTATGAGGTTGTACTTTATGAGTACTTCCCATTTTGTTACAAAAAATATTTTTTAAAAAGTGCACTCAAGGACTGAGATTTAATAAAATTAAGAATTCTTACTGCTTCATTAAGGATATTCTTTTATTTTTATTTTTAGTGTTTTAATTTTTATTTTTTAACTTTTTTCATTTTCATGACAACTTCACTGCTACATAAAGGATATTCTTAAGTGAAACTGACTTTAAAAAAATGTGAGTACAGATATATTGTTCCAGGATAAACTATGAGATTTAAATGTTCAATACATTATTTCAGCACCACTTATGTTTCTTGTCAAGATTTATGTAATAAAAGATTTTCAAGAATTAGTTGGTGCTTACATTGGATGGATATAAGCAAAGCAGCAAGTCCAGCTACATGTATAATTCTGTCCATTTTGAAGGAATTATAATTCTGAAGAAGAGACATTAGTCTTTATATTTGCAACTAAACTGCTTTTTTTTTTTCCTATTTTTTCGAGATAGAGTCTTACTCTGTTGTCCAAGTTGGAGTGCTGTGGCACCATCTCAACTCACTGTAACCTCTGCCTCTCAGGTACAAGTGATTCTCCAGCCTTGGCCTCCCAAATAGCTGGGATTACAGGCATGCAGCATCACACCTAGCTAATTTTTTTTTTTTTGGTATTTTTAGTAGAGACAGGTTTTCACCAGTTGGCCAGGTTAGTCTCAAGCTCCTGATCTCAAGTGATCCGCCTTGGCCTCCCAAAACACTGGGATTACAGGCGTGAGCCACCACGCCTGGTCTCCAACTAAATTTCTAATTTAGTGAGAGTTACTGCATCTTTGGAAAGTAGCATTCCCATGATCTCTGTTACTGATTATTATCTAGCAGGCATTTTGGTAAATGAACAAGGCTTTATTAGTCTTTTAGCTATTGCATGTCCTTCTCCAAAGAATGCAATATAATAATTTCACATATAAAAATCTACTGAAGTAAGATGCTTCAGTAGATTTTTCCTTCCTACTTTGAAGACGGTAATACAAAAGCTTTGGCTTTTATAAAGCATTGGTCACGTCTACGTTGAAAATATTCAATTCCCTTTCTTTTAAATTGTGACTAGTCTGAAAGTGCCTCAACTTGACTGGCACCATAATAGTATTTGAAAATGTTCTGTTGAATGAGATAAAATAAGGCAAGTGATTAACATCTCTTAACGCCCAGGGAAAGAAAAATGCTTCTGCCGTACTTTCCTTTGTTATTTATAGTTTCAACCAGATTTCTCCCTTTCCCTGAGTCAGTGAATTCTGATACTGTCAGCATCGTATTTTTCAGCATCTTTACATGTGGGAAGGTTAGAAAGCGAATCTTCTAGTCTCCCCCCACTTTTTTAAGTTATCATTTTATTTTTTCTTTTTTTCCTACATTCAGTGCCACTAGTCTCTCCTTTTTAAGCCTAAAATTTAAAAAACTATATATAAAACAAAATTTAAAGTATCAAAATTCTTGGTTTTTTTTTAGGGGGGTGGAGATAGAGTCTTGCTCTGTCACCCAGGTTGGAGTGCAGTAGCCGATCTCGGCTCACTGCAACCTCTGCCTCTCAGGTTCAAGCAATTCTTCTGCCTCAGCCTCCGGAGTAGCTGTGACTGCAGACACCCGCCACCATACTTGGCTAATTTTTTGTATTTCCCTATGTTGGTCAGGCTAGTCTGAAACTCAGATTGTTCAGGCAATCTGCCTGCCTCAGCCTCCCAAAGTGTTAGAATTACAGGCATAAACCATCACACCTGGCTGATAAAATATTAAATTATAAAGAGTATCCCTTTCTTGCTGGGCACAGTGGCTAACGGTTGTAATCCCAGCACTTTGGGAGGTTGTGGTGGGTGGACCATCTGAGGTGAGGAGTTCGAGACTAGCCTGGCCAAAACAGTGAAACCCCTTTTCTACTAAAAATATAATAATTAGCTGGGCGTGGTGGTGCGCACCTGCAGTTCTAGCTACTCAGGAGGCTGAGGCACAAGAATTGCTGGAATCAGGGAGGAGGGTGCTGCAGTGAGCGGAGATCTCGCCAACTGCACTCCAGCCTGGGTGATAGAGGGAGACTCTGTCTGAAAATAAATAAATAAATAAATAAAAAAGTATCCCTTTTGGATAGGTTTAAATATTTTAAAATGTTCTCAATAAATTAAAAAGGTATTCTTGCAAGACAAGCCAAGAAACTTTTTTCTTATGTTCCCATATAGGTATTCTAACAACTTTAGGATTTCAAAAAAACTCATTTATTAGGTGAGAAGGAGGTTACAGCTTGTAAATGTAGCTGGTGGGCTCGTTCAGGTTCTGGACTTCGTGAGGTAAAATAATTTGAGAGCGAGTCCAAAGAAAAAGCAAGCAAAAGAGTTTACTGCAAAGCTACAGTACACCCTCCCAGCGGATCAGAACAGGCTACTAAAAGCTGAAACAGCATGCACTGACACCGGGGAAACTCCCTTTATAGGAGTCTCACATGATCATTCATTAAGTGGGGAGAATGCTATTAAATATGTTCTCGGTGGTTTTCTGGTGTCATGTGCGCTGTGGTTTTACATGCTAGTATAGACACTGCATGTCATATTGGTATCTTAAATCTTCACCCAGGGGTGAGTTTTTTACTATTATAATGAGCATAATTCAGCCTAGGGACTGATCATGGGTTTCTCGCTTGTGAGAATCTGGAGATTTTCGTTTCTGCTCTTCTACTCCTTTGCTGCAAGGTTTTCTACCAAGGAGCCTGGGAAAGGGTCTGTGCACTATGTGTCGGTTTGCTCTATTTATCAAATTTGTTCCCCTTGAAGGGAGGCTATGACCACCTATCTAACCTACATCCTAAGAACACACTAGGAGTACTGAGGTCAAACTGAGCACGTTTATGCCCTAAACCTACTACCTTAGAAAATTCTAGAAAACACAGAATAGTCCAGCATACATTTCACCAGCTAGTCAACTGCCCATCTAACCTCTTGAAAACTCTGTACACTTCCAACAGAATGAGGGTGAAAACGGCAAATAACACGTAAGAAACGTTATCAGTATTGTTTTGACTTTGTGAATTTCCTAGAAGGGTCTCAGGGACCCTCAGAGGTCACCAGACCACATTCTGAGAACCACTGTACCAGATTCTGTTCTAGGTAAAAGCTGGGCAGTAACTACGAATAAGATACTCTGTGGGGAACTGTTCACGTAGTGGCAGCTGTGACTTGTTCCAAAGCGGAAAAGAACTGAGAGCTGTGAGATGGTGGGACGTGGAGACCTGTCCTTGCCTGCGGGACAGGGAGGTCGGCCCCAGGACTTTCAACTAAGACCTGCTGAGGAGGAGTCGGCAAAGGTGGCCGCCGACCACTCTGCCCGTCCGCCTCCCCAGATCCCAGGAGAAGATGGGCAGACGGGAAGCGACACTGGCAGCGAGTCCTCGGCCCACGGCGGGCTCTGAACCTGGCACGCCGAACCCTCAGGACGGCCGCGCTGTCTCTTAACACCTTGGGTGTCCCAACAGTCGCCAGAGCAGGAGCCTCGTGCGGCGCCGGTGACTCGCGTGAAACCGCCTGTGGGAGGCGGGCGGGTGGCGCGCGGTCCGGGGACAGTGAGGGGCGGTTGAGGGGGCAGGGACGTCCCAAAAAAGGTGCGGCCAGGGAGACGCAACTCCTGACGCGGTCTTAGGCAACGCGGAGGCGGCTAGTGGGAAACCGAGATCGTGGGACGCAATGCTTAACAGGGCCAGGCCCCTGGCGGCTTCCTCAAGTGGACTCACAGTTGGGGGGGGAATCCCGTAGTCGCTGTACCTTCGCGAGAACGGAGGTCCGCTTCCGCGCGCAATCTCGGGAGAGCGGCCTTTTCCGTCCCTGCGGTCTCTTGCGCCCTCTGGTGGCTCCTCGCGAGAACGACACTGGGCTTGTTCACGCGGGACGCAAATAAAGATTTCTTATTCAAAAAACAGGAAGTGCCTACGGAGGCCGGGCTGGCAGCGGCGTCCGGGCATGAAGCCGGGCTGCTACAGGATCGCGGGCGGCGGCGGCGGCGATGAGCGACATAGTGGAGAAGACGCTGACCGCGCTGCCGGGACTATTCCTGCAGAACCAGCCCGGTGGTGGGCCCTCGGCCGCCAAGGCGTCCTTCTCCTCGCGGCTGGGCAGCCTCGTCCGCGGTATCACCGCCCTCACCTCCAAGCACGTAGGTGCCTGCCGGCCGGGGAACTCAGGGACATTGGAGTGAGGCCCCCGCGCCAGGAGGCCCTGGCTGGGCGGCGAGACTCCAGGACCTCCGGGGTCAGCCCTCCGGCGGGGTTCAGGGACTGCTGTGTCGGTTCGTCCCTTCTTCTGTCTGGAAGCTTCACTTTCCTGCTGGGATTGACAGCAGGGAGGCCGAGTTTCCATAGTTGGCCCTGACACTGACTCTTTGATCTGAGGCAGATCTCTGTAACCTCTGACCCTCCATGTATTTTCTCACCGTCGGCGTGGAAAAGTACTGATACATAATTCATAAAATTCATAGGTTTTTTTTTCAGAGGATCGGGTGAGATGACAAGCGTGTAAAAATACCCGGTGTTAAGAAGGTGTCGGACATTATTTACCATCCACAAAGTTTTTTTCCCTTCTCAGTTTCCTTCTCTACCCCGGTCCCTTCAACTGAACAGCAGTTCAGATGTCGCATACCTGAACAGATCCTGCCATCTGCGCTTCCTGTTGAATATCTTTGGGGAACTTGAGGTTCTTGGGTTAGAACACGTGTTGGGCAAAGAAAAACCATAATGCTCCCAACATGTAAAATTTGCGAAGTCTCTGCCTCAAATGTGCTTTGAGCAGTTATAAAAGTTCTTAAGCTCCCACAGTCTTTAAATTTTTTTTTATTTTTATTTTTAGTGACTGAATCTTGCTCTGTCTCCCAGGCTGGAGCACAATGGCGTGATCTGGACTCACTGGAGCCTCCGCCTCCCGGGTTCAAGCGATTCTCCTGACTCAGCCTCCCGAGTGGCTGGGATTACAGGCGCTTGCCACTGCGCCCAGCTAATATTTGTATTTTTAGTAGAGATGGGGTTTCACCATATTGGCCAGGCTGGTCTCGAACTCCTGACCTCAAGTGATCTGACCGCCTCGGCCTCCCAAAGTGCTGGGATTACAGGCATGAGCCACCGTGCCGGGCCCTCTTAGGCGCTTGGTGATTGCATGGATTTTGTAGTATACAGATTGACTCCTTCAAGTTTATATCTTAAAAAGAGCACATGTTAATGTCATTATTTGTTCAACAGATGTTTTTGGAACAAGGTTATGTGTTAGACACAGGAAAATAGAATTAAACACATTCCCTTTTCCCAAGAAATTGGTCATTGCTTTGGGCTTAGAACAGTATAAGCATGACTACAATGCGATATAAGTGAGAAAAGAGAAGGAAAGACAGAAAGTGCTCTGAAGGTTAAAAAAAATCGTTTTTTGGCAGCTCAAATAAGATGATGCTATCCGGAGAGAACCTGCTTCACATTCCAGAATCATTATTTTGTGGGCTTTTTTTTTTTTTTTTTGAGACGGAATTTTGCTCTTGTCGCCCAGGCTGGAGTGCAGTGGCATGATCTCAGCTCACTGCAACCTCCGTCTCCTGGGTTCAAGCGATTGTCCTGCCTCAGCCTCCTTAGTAGCTGGGATTTCAGGTGCACACCACGATGCCTGGCTAATTTTTGCAATTTTAGTAGACATGGGGTTTCACTATGTTGGCCAGGCTGATTTCCAATTCCTGACCTCAGGTGATCCACCTGCCTTGGTCTCCCAAAGTGCTGGGATTACAGGTGTGAGCCACAGCCCCCGGCCAATGTTGTTTTTCTTAAGGTTTTTGTCCTTTGCTAATTTTTATGGGTTGCTCAGTAAATTTTTTAAAAAGTTATTTTTGGTCTTAAATAGCATTTTGAAACTGTAGATAGGGATCCATGTGAATCAGTACTTATTGGCTTTTGAATAGCCACCTGATGAACATATAATTCAGGGCGTAATTTAAAGGTAGCATGATAGTAGCCAAAAAAAAAAAAAAAAAATGGGGCCAATTTTTTAAGTTCTTAGGGAGGTAACATACAATGCAGACAGTAGAAGTGACCACATTGGCATGTGTCTGAGATACGAAGTGATGGAAAGGATTTGGGGAATGAGGAAAAGACAGGGAAGAAGAATGTAGTTTAAGGGAAAAAGACCGATTTCTCTTTCTGCTTTCTTACCCTATTTTTCGATTCCATGAAGACTTTACTTCTAAGGGGAATACGTGAGATGAGACTCTTTTCTTGTGCCAATACATGGAGAATTTCTACTCTCTTTCCACCTTTAATTTAATTTGTTTTTTGAGATGAAGCCTTGCTCTGTTGCCCAGGCTGGAGTGTAGTGGTACAATCTCGGCTCACTGCAACTTTCACCTCCGTGGTTCAAGAGTCTCCTGCCCCTGCCTGAGCCTCCCGAGTAGCTGGGATTACAGGACGCCCAGCTAATGTTTGTATTTTTTAGTAGAGACAGGGTTTTGCCATGTTGGCCAGACTGGTCTTGAACTCCTGACCTACCTCAAGTGATCCAACCCCCTCAGCCTCCCAAAGTGCTGGGATTACAGGCATGAGCCTCTAGGCCCGGCCTCCACCTTTATTTTTATTTATTTAAAAAAAAATTTTTTTTTTTTTAAAGACGGGGTCTCACCATGTTGCTCAGGTTGATCTTGAACTCCCAACCTCAGGTGCTCCGCTGGCCTGGGCCTCCAAAGTGCTTAAATTACAGGCTTGAGCCACCATGCCTGGCCTCACCTTTATTTTTTAAAAAAACATTTTCTGCCATTCTGCCATTAAGGGGAAGTAACTGAGTAAAGAAAAGAGGAAGGGTGGGTTAGCCTGGAAATATTTATTCTCTCCAGGGACAGTTCTGAGGTTTGGAGAAATGCCTTTAGATTGTAAGTGTGTAATATTTATAACTCTCCTTTAAAATAATGTTTCTTTTTAATTAAAAGTATTGTAAATTATATTTTCCCCTTTAGATAAATGCTGTTACAGTTTTAAAAGACAGTTAATCAAGCATTTAAATATTTTCACTTTCACAGGAAGAAGAAAAATTAATCCAGCAGGAATTGAGTAGTCTGAAAGCAACTGTTTCTGCTCCTACTACAACACTGGTAGGTTTGCATAGTCAGTGCCAACACATTTGAATTTGAAATCTAGCCTACTATAGACCCAGTAGTGGCGTCTAACTGATGATCGGTCACTAAAATTTAATTTATCACAGTCAAAATGAATTATAGATGGCAGCAACTCAGATGTTAACTGTAGCCTTTTATTGTTGACTGGTTTGCACCAGAAGAAGGTTTGCCTGTGTCAAGTCAGGGTTAATGTGATGATGATTACATAAATGTGGAGACACTCTTGGGACTCTAGTGCTGAGCTGATGCTTTTAATGTTATGCACTTGGAAAAGGTTGGGCTATCAACGTATTTTCAGACCTGAATTGATATATTGTAGATATATCTAATTTTATTATTTAAGACCTAGTTGTTTTTAAACTTTATTCTATGTAATTTGATTTTTCAAACAATATTCAGCAATTGTTTAATGAATGGTCATTCATTATTATGCAGGACACTGTGGGGCTGTCCCAGCATAGTTAGATTAAGACCGAGTTTGATTATTATTATTATTTTTTGAGACGGAGTCTTCCTCTGTTGCCCAGGCTGGAGTGTAGTGGTGTGGTGTGATCTTAGCTCACTACAACCTCTGCCTCCTGGGTTCAAGCAATTCTCTTGCCTCAGCCTGCTGAGTAACTGGGACTACAGGTGCCCACCACCATACCTGGCTAGTTTTTGTATTTTTAGTAGAGTTGAGGTTTCACCATGTGGAGCTGGTTGGTCTTAAACTCCTGACCTCAAGTGACCCAGTATTTTATTTGTTTTCTCAGTATTTTGTAATCTTTTTGGGTGGGGGTGGGGGATGGAGTCTTGCTCTGTTGCCCAGGCTGTAGTGCTGTGGCGGGATCTTGGCTCACTGCAACCTCCACCTCCCAGATTCAAGCGATTCTCTTGCCTCAGCCTCCCGAGTAGCTGGGATTACAGGCTCTAGCTGCCATACTTGGCTAATTTTATAGTTTTTTAGTAGAAATGGAGTTTCACCGTGTTGGCCAGGCAGGTCTCGAACTCCTTACCTCAGGTGATCTGCCCGCCATGGCCTCCTAAAGTGCTGGGATTACAGGAGACAGTCACTGTGCCCAGTCAGTATTTTGTAGTCTTAATTAATGGGTTAATGAATTAACTTTTATTGCTTTAAGCACAAGTGACCTGAGTTAAATCTCATTCCCTTAAGGTTTTCCTATGGTTTCTCTTTAAACTCTTCATATTTTCATTAAACATTACTATCCTTGCTTTAAAATATTCATTTTCACTGTTTCCTTAGCAATTTGTGATTTAATAATCCTGTAATATGCTAACCCTAATTAATTTTTTCATATTAAAATAGTCTGTGTGGCTGGGTGTGGTGGCACATGCCTAGAATCCCAGCAGTTTGGGAGGCTGAGGTGGGCGGATCATTTGAGGTCAGGAATTTGAGACCAGCCTGGCCAACATGGTGAAACCCCGTCTCTATTTAATATACAAAAATTAGCTGGGCGTGGTGATGTATGCCTGTGATCCCAGCTACTTGAGAGGCTGAACAATGAGAATCGAACCCGGGAGGCGGAGGCTGTGGTGAGCCAAGATCTCACCACTGTAGTCCAGCCTGGGTGATAGAGCAAGACTCCATCTCAAAAAAAAAAAAAAAAAAAAAAAAGTATGAGCTTTTCTTTATTTTGAAACACATTTTATTTATATTTTTTATTTCTGATTAAAATTTACTGTAAATATTGAGAATGCAAATATTAGTGATAAAAATTTTTTAGCATCTGTTAAAAATTTTTGGCTTGCATTGCAGTTATTAAAAGCCCCCATTAAAAACTAAATATTATTGCAATAGCTATACCATTCATGAAATCATGCCCCTCAGTTTATAATTGTGAGTTATTAAAAAAGAGTGCCTATAAAGCAAACTATTCCATATTATGCTTAGCACAATAATTCTGAAGAAAATTTAGGTGCAATTTGATTTTCCAATGTGAAAAATATTTTTGTTACAAAAATTATTACCAGCTTGTGGGAATTTTATGGATGTTTTCATTTGACAAAGTCTACTAAAATGATGTGCTGTATTTTAGAAGCCAAGTAAGAGAATCCTGGATGAAATCTTGTCTGAAGACCCCATGTATCACATTATAACCATATTTTTCACTAGGGGCACATAGAAATAGCTACAGATGATTTATTTTATAGTAGTGCCACTAACAAAGTAGTGAAATAATTTTACTAAAAGTAATACTGTTGGTAAGATTGGAAACAATTTTTATTTATAAAGTCTGATATTGCATGATTAGTTTGTGATATATATTATTTGTTCTGTGCCAGGATTAAAGGATTCTCCTGTTAAGTTATGAGAACATAGTAAAACAATCTAAACATTAAATTCATTTATATAGTTACTGGTTATTTTGCTTTTCAGAAAATGATGAAGGAATGTATGGTGAGACTTATATATTGCGAAATGCTTGGATATGATGCTTCCTTTGGCTATATTCATGCAATCAAGTTAGCCCAACAAGGAAGCCTCTTAGAAAAAAGAGTAGGTATGTATGTGTTTAAGACTTTCATGTTGTTCTTGAAGTTCCAATTATTATACAGAATGAATGATGGCAGGTATATAGTATGTTTTTAGAATGCTGTATTATAATTTCTTTCTTTTTTTTTTTTTTTGAGATGGAGTCTCACTATGCTGTCCAAGCTAGACTGCAGTGGCTTGATCTTGGTTCACTGCAACCTCTGCCTCCTGGGTTCAAGAAATTCTTCTGCCTTAGCCTCCCAAGTAGCTGGGATTACAGGTGTCCACCACTACACCTGGCTAATTTTTGTATTTTTAGTAAAGATAGGGTTTCACCATGTTGGCCAGGCTGGTCTCAAACTTCTGACCTCAGGTGATCCGCCCACCTCAGGCTTCCAAAGTATTGGGATTACAGATGTGAGCCACTGTGCCTGGGCAATAGAGCTGATACTAAGAAGGCTGTTTAACCTTATTCATTTAATGGCCAGAAATGTTTCTTTATAGAATAAAACTGAAATTTACTAGAGTAATTTTAACTATCTTGTTCTTAGCCTCTCAAATGGTAGCTATGAGAATTAGCAGTAACTTCAAAAAATTTCTCTCTGTAGTCAAGCTTTAGGGCTGTAAGGAAAAATTCTTTTAGGCAATTAAATCCTCTATTCATAAAGATTCAGCTTTGTACAGAATCTCAAGAAGGAAGCATTTTAGAATACTAAAGGGAAGAACATGTTCTTCAGAGAAGTTGATAAAGTCATGTCGTTTAGGACTAGCATTACTCATAAATTATATTGATCTGTCTTATCAGATGATGACAGGGTGGAAGTGACAGATGTCTTGGTAAAGATTCTGAGACTGAATGCACATAATATTCCACTTGTGGAACCCCACTGCACCCAAAACACTCTTCGATCTTTTTTTTTAATTTTTTTTTTTTTTTTTTTTTTTAAAGACAGGGTTTTACCATATTGGTCAGCCTGGTCTCAAACTCCCGACCTCAGGTGATCCTCCCGCCTCGGCCTCCCAAAGTGCTGGGATTACAGTCATGAGCCACTGTGCCTGGCCTAAATTTCTTTTTTTAAATCTCATCTTGAATTGTATCTTTGATCTTTTAAACTTGTTATAGTCTTTTTTTTCCCCCCAAGACAGAGTCTTGCTTTGTTATCCAGGCTGGAGTGCAGTGGCTTGATCTCAGCTCACTGCAGCCTCTGCTTCCCAGGTTCAAGAAATTATACTGCCTTAACCTCCTTACAGGCGCTGGGATTACAGGCGCCTGCCACCACAGCCAGCTAATTTTTGTATTTTTAGTAAAGATGGGGTTTAACCATGTTGGCCAGCCTGGCCTTGAACTCCTGACCTTGTGATCCACCTGCCTCGGCCTCCCAAAGTGCTGGGATTACAGATGTGAGCCACCATGCCCAGCCAAACTTGTTATAGTCTTTCCTCCAAGTAGAATGCCCTCTAGCATTCTCTGTGTCTGTCCATATTCCAAATCAAATTTTAATTCTTCTATGATCACACAGGTGGCTCCTACCATCTGTTACCTTTTATTGTTATCTTTTCATATATTAATGTCTTGTCTCCTGAACTAATTTTAAGCTCCCTAAAGGCAGGAATTTTTTTTAAAAGCTTTTAAATTAGTTTTTATTAGTAATTTGTTTTTCTTAAAACTTTGATTTCTCTTAAACATTATGCAAATATGGAATTTAAGCTTTTCCAGTCATATTCACTGTTTTCAGTTGTCATCCCAAACCTGGAAAATCCTGTTAGAATTTTTGTGTGTCTGAAGTCTTTCTAATGGTGATGTTCTTTTAGCTTCTGAAAGACTGTATTTGTAGTGTTTTTTTCTCTTCTTTGGTTTTGATCAAAGAAGAAAAACAGCAAAAAGGAAATTTCAACCATTGTTGAGCATTTTGAGAAAAGTAAAAACCAGCTTCATCCTTTTCATTTCTAAGGAAAAGCATGTTAGATGTGAATACATTTGGAAATGTTTATAATTCAGCCGTAACAGGAGTCAGTGATGGCAGATTTTAGGCAAAAGTCTGATATTTCTTTGCTTTCCTCCCATCTTACCTTACATCTCATTTCTTTTACTTTTCTGTTTCTCTATTTCTTTCCTTTTTAATGTTTTCCTTCAACTTTGGGCCATTTTCTCTTAATTGCTTTATATACTAGCTCACAGCAGTTGAAATAACATTGATATTATTCTTAGAGGTATCTATTTTGTTAAAGACTCTGGAAGACAGATCCAAAGAAATTAACCTTCAATAGTGAAATTTTGGCTTGATTAGGAAAAATATTTCTGACTGGAAAATCTTCTTAGGGATTGCCTGTTTATAAAATTTATTCATTATTCATGGAATTGATGCAATGAGTGCCTACCGTATGCCAGATACTGCAGTTAAGCTTATAGATGAATAACTTAAGTTGCTTCCACTTTGAGGATCCCTGCAGTGGCAGGGGAGAGGACAGAGACAAACAGAAATTAATAGTTACAGTTACACCATAGGCCGGGTACAGTGGCTCATGCCTGTAATCCCAGCCGAGGTGGGCGGATCACCTGAGGTTAGGAGTTCAAGACCAGCCTGGCAAACATGGCGAAACGCTGTCTCTACTTCTTTACTGAAAATACAAAAGGCAGCTGGGCATGGTGATGCGTGCCTGTAGTCGCAGCTACTGGGGAAGCTGAGGCATGAGAAATGCTTGAACCCGAAAGGCGGAGTTTGAAGGCGGAGTTTGCTGTGAGCCGAGATCATGCCGCTGCACTCCAGCCTGGGTGACAGAGTGAGACCTTGTCTCAAATAAATAAATAAAGTTGTAATTAAAAACCTTGTAACTATAATTTTATAGTTACAGATACTTATCTTTTTTTTTTTTTAAAGATGGGGTTTCTCCATGGTGGCCAAGCTGGTCTTGAACTCCTGACCTCAGGTGATCCACCCACCTTGGCCTCCCAAAGTGCTAGGATTACAGGCGTGAGCCACCGTGCCCGGCTACAGATGCTTATCTTAAAGGGGGTCTCAGAGTCATTTTTATTGAGGCTCATGATCTTTAGGAAAATATTTCTTGCCTGGGCAAAAGAGTGAGACCCTGTCTTAATAAATAAATAAAGTTGTAATTAATAACCTTGTAACTATGTCATTTTATAATTACAGAAGCTTATCTTAAAGGGCATCTCAGAGTCATTACTGAGACACATGATGTTTAGGAAAATACTTCTTGCCAATTAGAGTGACATGTATCTGCAGACATCAGATGCTTTTAATGTGTGTTACTGAATGGAAATCATTTTTTAAAGATATAATTTATGGGGCTGGGTGTGATGCCTAATGCCTATAATGCCAACACTTTGAAAGGTTTAGGCAGGCAGATCACTTGACATTAGGAATTTGAGACTAGCCTGGCCAGGGTGGTGAGCCCCCTTCTCTACTAAGAATACAAAAATTAGCCGGATGTGGTGGTACATGCCTGTTGTCCCAGCTATTTGGGAGGCTGGGCTCAGAGGATCACTTGAACCTGGGAGGTGGAGGTTGTGGTAAGTTGAGATCGTGCCACTGCACTCCAGCCTGGGCAACACAGTGAGAATGTGTCTCAAAAAAAATATATATATATATGTACAGGTATATATATAATTTATACCTTCTATATGTCTTCACTTTGGTACTGTTGTCTCACCCACTCTCCTAAAATTTAAGGCCAGCTTTGGTGCTTTCTCTGATGCAGAATGTCTTTTTTTTTTTGAGATGGAGTTTTGCTCTTGTCTCCCAGGGTGGAGCTCAATGGCATGATCTTGGCTTACTGCAACCTCTCCCTCCTAGGTTCAAGCAATTCTCCTGACTCAGCCTCCTCATTAGGTAGGATTACAGGCACCTGCCACCACGCCCAGCTAATTTTTGTATTTTTAGTAGAGATGGAGTTTTTTGCCATATTGTCCAGGGTAGTTTTGAACTCTTGACCTCAGGTGATCCACCTACCTTGGCCTTCCAAAGTGCTGGGATTACAGTTGTGAGCCACTCACTGTGCCTGGTCAGAATGTCTTATTTTTTTGTATGAATATTTTTGAATAAATACATTTCTTTTCTAAAAAAATTATTATTTTTTTTAGAGATAGAATCTTGCAATGTTAGCCAGGCTGGTGTCAAACTTCTGGCCACAAGCAGTCCTCCTGCCTTGGCCTCCCAAAGTGCTGGAATTGCAGGCATGAATAAATAAACTTCACTGCCCATAAAGTTAAGTATTATGTTAAGTGCTTTATCTTTTAAGATAGTATTTATCTTCATTTTACCTTTTTTTTTTTTTTTTTTTTGAGACAGAGTCTTGCTCTGTCACCCAGGCTGAAGTGCAGTGGTGGGGTCTTGGCTAACTGCAACTTTTGCCTCACAGGTTCAAACGATTCTTCTGCCTCAGCTTCCCAAGTAGCTGAGATTACAGGAAAGTGCTACCATGTCTGGCTGATTTTTGTGTCCTTAGTAGAGACAGACTTTGTAGCTGTGTTGGCCATGCTGGTCTCCTGATTTCAAGTGATCTGTCTGCCTCAGCCTCCCAAAGTGCTGGGAGTACAGGCGTAAATGCCTGTTAAGTGTCTGGCCAGTATTCATCTTCATGTGAAAGATAAGAAGACGGAGGCTCAGAAAAGTCAAGTAACTTACAGAGCATATAAGCATAAGTCATAGAGCAGATAAATGGAACCAGAGCCCAAATTTATATACTCAAAGCTTGTATACCTCATTCTTAGTCATACCAAATATAATCTATAATCATAGTTGTTAATTCTTTGTTTCCCTGACATTTTTCTCATTTTTTGAGTCCCCGTGTTCTTTCCCGTTTTCCAATTGTTGAAACAGTTGGGATATTATTTGTAAAAGAAAGAATTAAGGTTTCATTGAGATGGCCTTTGGATTAGTTTGTTGACCTTGATATTGGTGTCTAGGGAATGTGTGATACCTTAGCTAAACAGGTGATTTATCAGCAATCTAATAAGACAGTCTCTGCTTTAAATGCTTTCTGGGGGCCCTGGTGTGGTGGCTCACTCCTGTAATCCCAGCACTTTGGGAGGCTGAGGTGGGAGGGATTGCTTGAGCATGGGATTTTGAGACCAGCCTAGGTAACATAGTGAGACCCTGCTCTACAAAAAAAAAAAAAAAAAAGTCAGTGTGATGGTGCACACCTGTGGTCCCAGCTGCTTGGGAGGCTGAGGTGGAGGATCATTTGAGCTTGGAAGGTAGAGGCTGCAGTGAGTTTTCATTGTGCTACTGCCTTCCAGCCTGAGTGACGGAGTGGGACTCAGTCTCAGAAAACAAAACAAAACAAAATAAATGCTTTCTGGGATTTTCCTAATCTCTTTCTTGGTCAGACTTTTTCATCTATTATGATCGCAGGAGTAATAGCTCTCCTCCTCTGACTTATAGTGAAGGTGTTGGAATTGGTCATGCTGCCACCTCTTGGTTGTGAGAATAGGAAGTTTCTATTTTCTCATGTTCATAGTGGACACAGACAGCATGGATGCTGGGTAATGATGGGTATAGTTAACATTAGAATCCCTGATGAAAGGGTGGAAAGAATTGAGAAGAATGAAAAACAATGAGTGTGGAGTCAGGAAATCAGGTCTTGTCATAGACTATATGGAGAGACAGTAAAACATGGGGGTTTAAAATGTAGACTGACTCCAGCTGTTTGGGTTTGAGTTTTGGCTCCACCATGTGATAGGTGTGGACCTTGGGAAATTGCCCTTTTTTGGGTCTCGTTATTGTATTGGGATAATATCGCCTATCTCATAGGGTGGTTGCGAGGGTTAAACAAAGTAATGCTTATAAAGTACTTGACCCATAGTGACTGTCTAATTAAAGTGTTATTATCAATATGAAGGGTGACTGAGAAAATTCCTTGGAGCATCTAGATTCCATGTACATGGCATTTGTCATAGTGTTAATATATTTCCTCAATCTTAAAATGTGCTTTTAAAATGCTTTAATATTATTGCAGTAAAAATGCTTATTTAAGCCAATGAGTACATTTAATGTAGCAGATAGTGTTTCTTTCCTGAATAACTGTTATTCTTTCAATTGAGAAAATAAGGTATTGTGTGTGTGGCTTAATATATTTAATATATGATTTATATCATGTGGGTTGGCATTGTAACTCACTATTCACTGTAGTGATTAGCTTTTTTTTTTACTGTAGTGATTTGTTTTGAATTATTATATGTTTCAATATAAAATAGCATTTATAAAATAGATAACGCTTTGATTGATAATGTAAGGATTTGCACAAAAGATAGAAGGCATATTTTCTCAGTGTCATTTACAAGATTTTAAGTTGATACACATAGCGTCTATTCAATTTCTGGAATATCTTATGAAATACATAATTCTGGAAGATTTCATGGTGAAGAATACCTGAAATCTCTACTGAAGGTTAAAAATCTTCAGTAAAAAACATAAGGTTAAAAACCTTATATTTTACAATTTGTTTTTATATTTACTTGTAACTTGTATCTTTGATACTTAAAGGACTGCTTTGTTTAACTTCTTGTGAAAAGTCTATTTTTGGTAGGTAGTAATGAGACTTTTCCCTCAATTTTTATAGGTTATTTGGCTGTTTCCTTATTTCTACATGAAAGTCATGAATTATTGCTTCTCCTCGTGAATACAGTTGTAAAGGTATTGTATTGTATTTTGGTTAATATGAAGTCATAATTCTTGCCAGCCCCTGACATTTCTCCTCAATCATATTTAATTAGATAATATTAGAAGAAAGTAGGCTTACAGAATGTGCTTAGAAAAATCTTTTAGATCAGTTTCTGCATTTATAAAATGTAGTTAAATAATAGAACTTAGAGTTGTGAGGATTAAATGAAACACTATGTGAAATAGTAGCTGCTGTTCTTGTTATAATTTCATTTTAAAACACAGAGTTAGAATTAGAGTCCAGGGCTCTAAGCTTTTAGTTTAGGGTATGCTTTCCATGCTGTTATCTCTTTTTCTAGGATCTGTCCTAATGGGAGATAAACTGAGGAATTGAAGTCTTTAAAATTTAAGAAGTCATGTAAAAAAAGAATAAGATGTAATCAAGTAACGGAAATGTAGAGATAATAAAAACAGTTTATATTCACAGTATTTTCTGTTAAACTTCTAAATCAGAAAGATAATGAAATGTAATTGATTTGTTGAGCTTTTTATTTTGTGTCAGTTTTTTGATACATGAGAGATAACAATATTTTCTGAACTGTAAGTCATATACTATATTAAAGGTTACTAGTAGGTTAAATTTTTTCCAAACTTAGAAAACATATTTTTAGGTTCTATTAGAATGGTTTATAAACCATATGCACAGATAAGTATAAATGAATGTATGCATTTTATAGTGAATATTCCAGAATCACTTCTGTTTAAACTTACGCTCATATTATTGTTGATTAATAAGAAAAACTCATAAAATTGTTTTATTATTGATTTAGAAAAGTTTTAAAGGCTGTAATAAAGGAGGCTACTTTGGCTTGTATCAGAAATTTTATATCAGTTGCCTTTTGGCTTTATTTCTCTACTGACTCTATTAAGGCAAATAAAACGAATAGGAGCATTCCAATAAAATATTCCATAAGTCTGAATATACAAATTAATTATAAATTGCACAAAATTACTAAGCATATAGGACCATTACAGCGTTGAATTTGCCATTTCTAGTTCCAGTAGTTACACTGAATGTTTTCTTTGTTTAATGTTTTGTCAGGACCTGCAGAGCACTAACCTAGTAGAAGTGTGTATGGCACTTACAGTTGTTAGCCAGATTTTCCCCCGAGAAATGATTCCAGCTGTTCTTCCGTTAATAGAAGATAAACTTCAACATTCTAAGTAAGTAAATTCTTTTGGGATAGGTGTGTATACCATATTTTTCAAAATAGAAGTTTATACCAGAAAATTTATTATAACTTCAGTACTACCAGGATAGAGATTATTCTTTGAGTGCTAGAAATAATACAAAAATCTTCAATAAGATCATCTTTATTTTTATGTGGGTTTAGGGAAATGGTAGGCAGCTTTCTAAAGTTAAAAGAGACAGTGAGGCCTAGTGTCCAGGAATCCTTGGCTTTCCTCCCAGTTCTACCACTAATGAGCAGTTTTTCCTTGGCTATATGGGGTTGGTTGAAGCTCCTTAGTTCTCCCAAAGTTGTTTTGGGGATAAAGTGAAATAATGAAAAACATATGGAGATTGTGCAAGTGTTGTGAATGCAAAGCTTCAGTGTAGTGGAAAGATGCTTTTTCCATCAAAACCACAGCATTTCAATTCCATTTTACAGTAGAATGTATCCAAATAAACTTAATTTACCTTGTAGTATTTTGCTAATCTTCTCTTGTAAGTGTCCTTAACTGTTTCCTTATCAGGTTGACTGACTTGTTCACCATATTTTGAATTATTAATATTTTATTTTTGACTAAACCCCTTTATATCATAATTTTTAAAGTTGAAAAAGGTTTGCAGTCATTTTCTTTTGTGATTATGGTATGTCAGTTATATATTCTTGATAAAGTTTTTTTTGTTACTCATAGAACCTTTATATGCTTTAAGTCAGTTGTTTTGTTTTGTTTTTTTCTGAGATAGAGTTTTGCTCCTGTTGCCCAGGCTGGAGTGCCATGGTGCAATCTCAGCTCACCGTAACCTCTGCCTCTCGGGTTCAAGTGATTCTCCTTCCTCAGGCTTCCAAGTAGCTGGGATTACAGGCATGCACCACCACCTCCTGCTAATTTTGTATTTTTGGTAGTGATGGGGTTTCTCCATATTGGTCAGGCTGGTCTCGAACTCCCAACCTCAGGTGATCTACCCGCGTTGGCCTCCTGAAGTGCTGGGAGCCCCCAAGCCCAGCCAAGTCAGTATTTTTAATGTTTTCAGATTGCAAAATATTGTCTTATAGATTATATTCTTTAAGAAATATTGGATCATGAATCTTCCAGCTAAAATGATAGCTTTTACTAAGAATTATAGAATAGCTTCATAGATCTTTCAGACTTTTTATGTATTGTATATCTGTGTTTAGAACAAAGAATGATTATAGACAATTAAAAAAGAAATAAAATATTAACTTTTTCTTTTTTGAGACAGAGTGTTTTGCTCTTTGGACCAGGCTGAAGTACAGTGGCACGATCTCGGCTCACTGCAGCCTCTACCTCCTGGGTTCAAGTAATTCTGCCTCAGCCTCCAGAGTAGCTGGGATTACAGGTGCATGCCACCATGCCCAGCTAATTTTTGTTTCTTTTGGTAGAGACACGGTTTCACTAGGTTGGCCAGGCTTGTCTCGAACTCCTGACCTTGTGATCCTCCTGCCTTGGCCTCCCAAAGTGCTGGGATTACAGGCTGAGCCACCACACCTGGCCAATGTTAGCTTTTTAAAAGATATTTTTATGGTAATCTAATTATAGCAGCAGCATATTTTTAGTTAACTTTTGCTTACCACCACTTTTGTGGTGACTTTACTTACTGACTGTTTGTATCAAATCCCCCTGAGAATTGAAAGATCCCTTTTCATTTTTTCCTTTGTTGCTTCCTATTTAGTCTAATTTAAAGTCCTGGCTAGAGTTTAGACTTTTTGAAACTCTGCTTCTGCAGTTATGGCCATACTTAGCCCCATGCTTGGGAGTAAAGAGCTGAAGAATATGGGGCAGAGATATAGGTAAGCCAGTAGGTGTCACAAAGAATATGTGAAACAAGGCTCAAATTCAACTTTTGAATCCCATGCTGTATTTCAGCATACCAACCCCACAGCCTGAATCTAGGTCTTTTATCTTCTGTTAGTACTTACCACCACTTGAGGCCAGGCCTGTGGATTCCTGGGCCTATTCTGAGTTTGTGTTTCTTTTTTCCTCACCTCATTTACCTATTCTTTCCCAGAATTAATGTCAGTTAACACCCAATGGCAATACATTGGGATGTGGCTTGCATTCACTACAGTATTAACACTAATAGTAAATCTGTTGTTAATCTGGCTTTCCTTTTTTTTTTCTTTTTGTAAAAAATAGTTTTCCATCATGGCATAGCTTGCCTAGGAAGATAAGAGTTGTTTATTAATGGAATTTCTATGACCATTTATTAAGAATCTTATAAAAGGTGTTCTTGAGTGGAACACAAAAGATTGCATTGAATAATCTCAGTCTTGAGATTCTATAATAGAAATATCTCTTAAGGAACCCTAAAAGTAAATACTTCACTTTTGTGATGTGTGCTGCTGTTCTGAGCCCTGCCAGCATAGTCTGCAAATAAAAGATATGTAGAAATAGACAATTAACAAGGAAGAAGCTTCCTTGGAAACTACATCGTGAACATAGGATGGCATTTCTTTATTTTTGTTTCTGTGTGCTAGACATAATCTTCTACAGATGAAGTACAAGACTAGTATGTACTTTTCCTCTTTATGATCATTAGGTTTTGAAACAGATTAACTGGACAAGGAAAGGAGTAACATCTTTTTATTCCATGTGTGTCCTTGTATTCCTTCCGTCTGTCCTCCAAAGTATTTTGAGTCTACTATCCAGTGATTAAAAGAATAATAAAAATAAAATAGAAAGCTATTTTAGAATGAAAATGTTAATGAGTTTTTTCTTTTCTTTCTCATTTTTTGAAACAGTCTTGCCCTGTCACCCAGGCTGTAGTGTGGTGGCACCATCTTGGCTCACTGCAACTTCTGCCACCCAGGCTCAAGCGATTCTTGTGCCTCAGTTACCCAAGTAGCTGGGACTACAGGTGTGCACCACCACACCTGGCTAATTTTTGTATTTGTAGGAAAAACAGGGTTTTGCCATCTTGGCCAGGATCGTTTTTAACTCCTGGCTTCAAGTGATCCATCCACCTTGGCCTCCCAAAGTGCTGGGATTACAGGCCAAAGATTTTTTAATATTAATAAAGAGACTAATATTACTAGCTGAAATTACCTATTACTTACTTAAACTTACTGTTGACTTTTTTTAATTTTTAGAGATATGTTTTTTAAAAATAAATTTATTTTTCTTGTTTTTTTTGGTTTCTCAAAAGTATTATATGCTTGTTACAAAAAAAAAAAAAAAAAATTCCCTAACTGGATGCATATATAATATGGGCAGTTAAAGTTTTGAGACCTTACTTCTTAGAGGTAATCATTTTTATATTTAGTATATTAGAGAATAAATTAATAGAAATGGATGATTCTCTCTTTATTTGTAGATTAAGATAATGAGTCAGTATTTTGGAATCAACTGGCCCATAATCTTTCAAAGTAAATACTCGAAGATTCAGATTGCCTTGTTTAGGTTTCATTTTTTGTCTTCAGGGAGATTATACGAAGAAAAGCTGTTCTGGCATTATACAAATTCCATCTCATTGCTCCTAATCAAGTACAACATATTCATATTAAGTTTCGGAAAGCACTTTGTGACAGAGATGTTGGAGTCATGGCTGCTTCCTTGCATATATACCTTAGAATGATTAAGGTAAGTTGGAGATTTTAGCAAGTACTGAGTAGTTACCATTAGAAAAATACAATTATGGAATTAAAAGGAAACTTTGTTATTTTGGTAAAATGCTTAGTTAACATTTTATGATTTTATTATTATATTTATTTTTAATTAGTAATTTTGCAAGTTGTTGATAGCATGAGTTGTAGGCACATTACAGGATTAGTTTTTTTTTTAGTGCCTAAAATTTTTTGATGTTACTAAGCAGGTATGGGAAAATGGTAGCTATGGAAGGTGTCTTAAGTTTGCAGATTTGTGTTTTCCCAAGGAGTAATTCTCTTTTATATAGCTTCGTGGATGCATAACAGTTTATAGAAATAAGGAGAACCAGTGGGGGTTGTGCAAGCTACCGACTATGGTGTTGACTCCATATATTGAACGCTGTACCATATGAGGAAAAAGGATTGAATGCTGTAGTAAAACACTTTTCTAAATGGCGATGATGGATTTATACTAATTCAGCCTTAGTGTATTGCCTGAAACCATTTGTGTTCAAATATACATATTTGCAACGAATTTCATGGCACCTATTATAACAAAATAAAATATACTGTTGAACTCATTTAAAGTTATATTGTTTTTTATGTATTGTGTTTTAAAATAGTACAGTTTAAATAGATATTCAATACTAAATTTTATTTTTTCCCTAACATTTTGTAAAATTTGAAAGAGCCTTATTTCCCTTTTAAAAATTTGCCCTTGATACATAATAAAAATTAGAATATTAGAATAAAGAATCTAATGTTTCTTTTAAGGAGTATGTATCTAATTTCCCCAGTCCAAAAGATTACTCAGATAGATAATCAAGGCATACTCCTTCAGAAACAAGTATTTTTAGGTACTGAATGGCTAATTAATTTTTAATTGGCAGGCACACTGATTTTGGGGACTTTTAATGTTTAAGTAGTCTTGACTGTGGTCTTCTACCCAGAACGAATTTAACTTATTTGCATGTGAAGTCTTTTGGAAACAGAGACTGCAAACAGGCCTTGATTTTCATCAAAAGGCAGAGGTATTACTGTCCTTTTGCAGTATGCCATTTCCTTTTACTTTTTGTTTTAATTGCTGGAATTGGCTATTAAGGATTCTATCTAAGATGTAATTATAAGAACTTTTGAAATATGATTAAACTGTATGTGGGAAAATGTAGGGAATGGTGGAAACTTTTCTGGGATGATTCAGCTTTGGGTTCGTTAGCCAGAGGAATTTTATCATGGAAGAAATTATCCGTATTAGAGCACTTTCATTAAATATGAACATAAACTTAAGCATGTATTAAGTTAGGTTCTATATGACATTTCACCCAGGTCTATTTATATTTAATAAGACATTACTAACAGAAAGTTTTTTTTTTTGGTGGGGGATGTAGGAGAATTCGTCTGGATATAAAGACTTGACTGGGAGTTTTGTAACCATTTTGAAGCAAGTAGTTGGAGGAAAGCTCCCAGTAGATTTCAATTACCACAGTGTGCCAGCACCATGGTTACAAATTCAGCTCTTGAGAATACTAGGACTTCTAGGAAAAGATGATCAAAGGTAAACTATTCTCAGTAAGTTTGCTTAATGACCCCATATCAGAAGATAGGCTTAGACTTTAGTTACCTAGTGGTTTAATGATAAACCAGATTCTTCCAGTGTTTAATTAAATTAGCCATTGTAAGAAGCACATAAATGCTTTCAGGTTGCTGGGATAATCCTGGTTCTCTCCTTGTCCTAATTTTACCCTTCATGAAAGGTACCTATGAAATGCCATCTCCTCTGTGAAGCTTTCGTGATTGTTCTAGTTCAGGGGTCAGGAAACTTTTTCTGCAAAGGGCCAGATAATAAATATTTTAGGCGTTGTGGGCCATATGTTGTCTTTTGCATGTATTCAACTCTGCTTTTATAGCATGAAAGCAGCTACAGATAGAACATAAATGAGTTAGCAAGGCTGTATTTAAAAGAAGCCTTTTTATGGACCTTAAAACTTGAATTTCATATAATTGGAACATCATAAAGTATTATTCTTTTAATTTTTTTCCAACTATTTCAAAATATAAAATCTCTTCTTAGCTTGAAGCCATACAAAACTAGGCATCTGGCCAGATTAGGCCTGTGGGCTGTAGTTTGTCACTAGTTGGATGTGAGTGTGTCACCTTTTTAATTCATTTACCTTAATTATTCTTTTAGCCAATAACTTAAACTTTTCATGTGTATCTTTCCAACTATATATGTGTTTGTGTGTAAATTTTTTTTTCAATTTTGCCTTTTTTTTTTTTTCCTAAGTCTTGCTCTGTCACCTAAGCTGGAGTGCAGTGGTGAGATCTTGGCTCACTGCAACCTCCGCTTCTCAGATTCAAGAGATTTTCCCACCACAGTCTCCCAAGTAGCTGGGATTACAGGCGCGTGCCACCATGCCCAGCTAATTTTTATATTTTTAATAGAAATGGGTTTTACCATGTTGGCCAGGCTAGTCTCGAACTCCTGACCTCAGATGATCCACCCACCTCAGCCTTCCAGTGTTGGGATTATAGGCATGAACAACCACACCAGCCTCAATTTTGCCATACTTTTTCAAACTGACAAACTTTCAAAGTTCCAAGGACGGTACAAGGAGCTCCCTTATACCCTGCACCTAGATTCATTAATTTATTTGCATTGATTGTATCATTCTCATTCTCTGTGTGTGTGCATGTGTGTGTGCATTTGCATGTGTACATACATATTATTTTATTTAAAAAACTGTTTCTGAATTGCTTGAGAGCAAGTCTTAAGATTTTAGTTCCCTTGAGAGCAAGGACCTTGGCTAGAGTTCCTGATACGTTTCTGTCTTAAGAAAATGTTTGCTAATTAGTGTTCTGATTTTATGAATATTGTTTCCCTTTTATGTAGTAGGGTACCTTTGTATTCTGACTCTTTATCTTAGCTTTACAAAGGGACCATTCTTTAGGCTTTTGCTCCTAGAAATCAACTTCATCTCAGAATCCATTTGCCTGTAAGCTCCTGACCAGCAGTAATTGAGCTACTTCACTCTTGGTATTACAGTGTTACTTTTTTATGTGTTTATGAATCTCAACTCCTAATTGAAACTTGGAGTAAAAACCTAAGGTAATGGAGCAGGCACACACATTAGAAATCATTGTCTTAATTATATTTTATTTTATATCATGCCACCCTATCCTAACATGGAGCTGTAGTTGGAGATGACTGGAATTATGTTTTAAAATCATGAATTTTATATTAATGCATCAGATCTTACTTGTCTAAAAAGACTTAATGCCATCCATTGTTATCAGGAAGTAACTTGAGAGGCATTCAGTGAATTTATTTATTAAACTTATTAACTATCTTCCTTTTTCTTGCCTTTGTGGATACATTTGGATAATACATAAACACAGAGATGAGTAAGCTAGTCCTTACCTTCACAGCACTCAGGTGACTAGTAATTAGGCTGAGTTATCAATAGAGTGGAACTTTCTTACAATGTTATGGAACATTAGAATGTTTTCTCTTTTTGTGCCAACTCTAATGAGATTTTATTTTATCATAAATCTTATATTTTTTAGGACATTATTAACTTAATGTAGCAAAGTAAAAAATTAAGTTATAACCAGATTCTAAAGTATTTAATTGAAAAAAACCAATTTACTGGAAAAGTCTGTTATATCCATGGTCTTTTATATCTCTTTGAATATTTTCTTGTGTTTTGTAGCATTGTGCTTCTTAGATGATTAGCATTTAGCTTGATCTTGTTCACAAATGTTTCTTTATTTCATGTGGTTAATTATGACTCATGCCAGGTATTAGCTTTTAAAATTGAGAAACTATAATCTAGGAACAATATTACCAAATTTTTTGGGGGGGCAGGGAAGAATTGGTAATGTCTGCTGTATGGTTATCTTCTGAGGAAGAAACGCTTGTACAATAAAACAAAGGATTTAGAATGTGGTTCTGGATTCCTATTATTGGATGTTTATACTTCAGTTAAGACAGATTAAAAATACATGCACTTAACATTGAACTTTCTAGCTGTATATTTGGAAAAAACATTTTTTGAAAGAGATGTAATATATAGCCCAAATTATTTTGATATTTTATATTGTTTTTTATTTTATGACACAGTTTCTCTGCAAGACCACTGTATGTATCCTATGTTGCTGTTATTTTTTTTTTTCTGTTAGTGCTATTTGAATTTGTGAAACATGCAAAATACCAGCTGAGAAGCTATAGTTTTTTCACACTGGCCTCTTGGAGAGGATGTTTCTCTAACAAGTGTGGAGGCAGAGTGCTAGGCATCCATAAGCACTGCACTTTTTTTTTTTTTTACAGTATCTTCCTCGTCACAGTTATTGTTACTGTAATCAGTGACCATAAAGACATATGAATGGTACAAACCCACAATATATCTTTTTTTATATTTTATGTAAATGTAAGTAAAAATTTTCTTTATGAAGAACCTAGTTTTTGCTCAAAGAAAGACTAGTATTTGAATACTTTTTAATAGTATTTGATTAAAATATAGATAATATACTAACTGGAATAATATGGATAGATGAAATGTTACTAGAGTAACTTAGAAGTATTCTGTCGAAAGGCAATTATAAAATGTAGTATGTTCAATCAAATAAAAACTTGGTTTGTAAACTAGGCACAGTGAGGAAAGAGTTGATTGACATACATATCTCATTGGCTAACTAGTCAACTTTGATAAAGTAGAAAGTTCAGCTCATGAAAAAGAGCAGACCTTTTAAGAAGTGAAATTTCCATAACTTCATCATAAAATGAATTTCTTTCACTTCTCTTCTGTAGATCCTCAGTTTTAAAGAGAAGTTTGAAAAACTATGTTTTATTGGGTTAGAATACTATAATTCTACTGCAAATAAAATATCTTTTAAACAGGACAAGTGAATTAATGTATGATGTTCTTGATGAATCCCTACGAAGAGCCGAGTTAAATCACAATGTCACATATGGTAGGTAATATATGTAAATGTTACTCTAATGACTGACAGTGTTCTTTACTTTGCAGTTATATCTGTGTTGGAATACTATAAATTCCAGTAGAATTTTATACTTTGATTTTAAGATAGTTCTTTGGGTTATTATTTTTTCAATGTAAGCATTTAATTACTGATATAGACAGGAGTAATTTGAACTCATGGCATGTTCTAAATTTTGACCTCAGTTTATTATAATAATTGTCTGTATTGAAAACACATATCAAGTATCTCATTGTGAAGATAACTCCATAGATTGTTCCATACTTGGTAAAAATTTGCGGTATTCAAAGACAGTTCTAAAATAAAGGAATTGACTAGTTGTCAGATATTTTACTAAATTTCTGTTGTCAGGCCCTATGCAAGATACTTAGAATACAGCAGTGAAGGCTGGGCATGGTGGCTCATGCCTGTAATCCTAGCACTTTCGGAGGCCAAGGTGGGGCGGATCACCTGAGGTTGGGAGTTCGAGACCAGCCTGAGTAACATGGATAAATGCCACCTCTACTGAAGATAAAAAATTAGCCAGGTGTGGTGGCGCATGCCTGTGTTCCCAGCTACTCAGGAGGTTGAGGCAGCAGAATTGCTCGAACCTGGGAGTCAGAGATTGCAGTGAGCTGAGATCATGCCATTGCACTCCAGCCTGGGCACCAAAAGCAAAATCTGTCTTAAAAAAAAAAAAAAAAAAGAATACAGCAGTGAATAAAACATTATTATGGGGCTTATAAACTAGATGTATAGATAGTGTTAGGTGTTATCAGTATTACAAAAGAGAATTGTAGAGTGTGGTAGAATATAGCAGCTAGTCTAGGTGAGGGGAAGAATAAAGAAGATTTTCCTGAGAAAGTAATATCCGTGAAGACATCTGAAGGATGAATAGGATATAGATAGGAATATATAGATGTAGAATAATAGTGTACTATTTTGTAGAGAGACAATAGTTATACAATTTAAAAATTAGTAATAGGAGATAAGAGTAAGTTGGGGAAGAGGATAGAAAACTGAGAAAGTAACCAAAAAAACTTCCAATTTTAACAGCCAGAGGGAGGAGCTATTCTTTTTGATCAGCCTGAAAGAGCTCAGTGAGGAAACTGAGATTTTTGGAGCTATTTAAAATGTAGAAGTAGAATAGTTTGAATTTTGCATGCTCTGGAGGAAAGCAGTAGAAGAGGCACTGAGAGGTGTAACTCAAATGAGAAGTCATTTCTTAATCTGGCAAAATACCATGAAGTAGGAGATGAAAAGCATTACTTTTTCTTTCAGTTAGTTAACCTGTGTATTTTTTTTTTTTTTTTTTTTTTGAGACGGAGTTTCAAAAACTGTTACCCAGGCTGGAGTGCAATGGTGCATTCTTGGCTCACCGCACCCTCCACCTCCTGGGTTCAAGTGATTCTCCTGTCTCAGCCTCCCAAGTAGCTTGGATTGCAGGCATGTGCCACCATGTCTGGCTAATTTTTTTGTATTTTTAGTAGAGACAGGGTTTCACCATGTTGGCCAGGATGGTCTCGATCTCTTGACCTTGTGATCCACCCACCTCAGCCTCCCAAAGTGCTGGGGTTACAGGCATGAGCCACTGCACCTGGCCTAACCTGTGGATCTTTAAGAACAATGGTTGTAGAAGCATAGGTTAGACTGGAGTACAGAATTTGAATTAGTTTAACTGAAATAAAAAGCGCTTGACAAAGATGCAGTATGAATAAGGAGAAAGGATTGTGTATATGAGACTAATATAAGAAAAGTAATGCACATGGTAGTGAATTGTTATAGTAAACTTTGAAGGATAGATTTATGTTTTGCATATATGAATGATAATTAAGGCAATAAGGATGCTTTATTAATTTGTTCAGCCAGCATTTATTCAGTGCCTGTGAAACAAAAACTTGATTTTGTTTTAAACTAGGTGTGGATTGAGGAAAGAGTTGGTTGACTTAATGTATTTCTCCATGCTAAGTGTGGGAGGTAAAGGGAAGAATAAGGTAGACACAGGCCTTGTCCTTATGAGTATGTAAGTATAATAAACATTTGATATTATATAGGCTTCTGCTATGCAGTGAGAGTAAGGAGCCACAGATGTGGCTGACCCTTATTGAAGCAGGTGATGTTCTGAGAAGATCTGGAAAAGTGTCAGAATTTTTCCAGTAAGTTAAAGTAAGTTAAAATGCTTTGTTTGTGATATAACCAGTGTCCAGGATAAGGATTTGAAAGTCTTTCAAGAAATTCTGCTTAAAATTCAGTTAAAAATCTGCTTTTTTTTTTTCCTTGCAGAAAGTTTTTTTTTTTAATTGACATTTCAGCTTTAATTTTTTTTATTTTTTTGAATAGGTAATATATGCACATGGGTCAAAATTCAAAAGGTACAAAAGGGTATACAATGAACAGTAAGTGTCCTTTCCACCCTTAACATCCACCACCCAGTTCCCTTTCCGGGGGATAACCACTGTTACCTGTTTCTTTTGATTTGGAGAATACTGTATACCTGAGAAAATGTCTCTTAATATTTTCAGTAGGACCCTTTTATTAAGATTGCTTGGCGGGGTGTGGTGGCTCACACCTGTAATCCTAGCACCTTGGGAGGCTGAGGGGGGCAGATCACTAGGTCGGGAGTTCGAGTTCAAGACCAGCCTGGCCAACATAGTGAAATTCCCTCTCTACTAAAAATACAAAAATTAGCTGGGCATGGTGGTAAAATTCCTGTAATCCCAGCTACTCGGGAAGCTGAGGCAGGAGAATTGCTTGAACTGAGACCCAGGAGACAGAGGTTGTAGTAAGCTGAGATCACGACACTGCACTCTGGCCTGGGCTACAGAGCGAGACTCTGTCTTCAAAAAAAAAAAAAATTGCTTGAACCAACATCAGCAGTGTTTCACCTTGCTACAGAAACCTCATAGTTTCTATTGCTTCATTTCCTTTGTTTAGCTTTTCATTATGAAGCTTTTCCCTATATCTGTATTGATATAGTTTATAACTTATACTGATTATATCAGTGGTAGAGTATTCTCTAGCAATCCTGTTATAGATATTTTACTGCTTAAGAATGTTAATTTTAATTGTAAGCCTCATAAGGGCAGGGACTGTGTCTCTCTTATTAACCAGCATATCTCAGTAGCTGGCACTTTGTTAATAAGTAATATGCTTTAATTGAATTAAAGGAAGATAAAGTTATTTACTTTATCAGTTATCTAAGTGGGTTTCAGTATTCTTTCTATATCCTATTTTTATGGAAGCTCTATTATTACAATTTAGTGTCTAATCAAGAAATAAATTACATTAAAGACATTTATTGAGTATCTGCTATGTGCCAGGCATTGTATAAGGTGGTGTATAGGGAATGAAAAAGTCTGTGTAACCTCTGTCTTTAAGAAGTTTATAATATAGTGGAAAGATAACTTGTTCATGAAAGCGTAATACCAGTGTAAGGCAGAATGTGAAGGGATGGTTCAGGGAATAAATATTATAGGAGTTCAGAGGAAGTAGAGATTATTAAGGGCCTGAGGACACACATAGGGATTTATTGATTTGATAGGACCCTGAAAGGTAGGTAAGATTTAGATAGGCAGAAGGGAGGCTGAAGGGGCTTTTTAGGTAGAGGGAACATGAGAGAAGGTATAGACATGGGGCTGTTTAAATATAGTTTCAGAGAACAATGTCTCACCAGCCTGAAAGGGTAATTCATGGTGGGGAGCAGTGGAAAGGCCATATTGTGGAGGACCTCTCATGACAGCCAAATGAGTTTGGACTTTGTAAAACTGAAGGTATGGCAGGTTTTTGGATAAGGTACTGATAGCGTGTGAATGTAATTTTTAGTAAATTAGTAAATTGAAAATTATATAAAATGGAGTACGAAGGACAAAACCATCAAAAGTAGGTAGGTAGAAGTGCTTTTCCCTGTTTTTTTTTTCTCACTAACTTCACCTAAAACCCTTGGATACTATGTATAAGAAACATAAGACTCAAGAAGGTAGAGAAAAAAAGTCAGACTGGTTAGAGACCTCACGACACAAGGAAACAGACATGGTGGTGTGTACCCTGGGTTTTATTTTTGCCTCAGTTACCCCAGACTGGATACTGAACAGCCAGCAGTCTGGAAATGCCAACAGACACAGACAAAAACACCCCAAGAAAAGGCTGCCCTCTCTCACCAAAGGACCAAAAAGAAAAAAGTAGCAAGGTAGAAAACTTGTAGACAACAATGCCTCTGTTCCATCCAAGCACTACACAGGAAAAAACTGTGGACCCATCCCCTCTGGCAAAGGCTAAGTGAAAAGCTAGGATTTCCACACTCACCAGGTATAAAGAGGTGCCCCAAAACACCCTTCCTGACCCCCTCTAGAGTGGTGACAGAAGCCCAAGAAGAAGCCGGAATTTCATTGGTGCCAGGTGATAAGGAAGGCTCCTTTCTTACACTGTCAGTGGAGGTGACTTGGGAAGTCTGGATTTTTCCCATGTGGGAGTAGGGAGTAATGAGCTACCCTTTCCCTCTTTGCAGCCAGGGTTTGGAGGCGGAGGTGTTAGAGAAAACCTGGTGGAGAGTCAGAACTTCCACCCCTGATCAGCGATAATGAGGCCACTCCCTCATGGTGTCACTGGAGGCCACAAAGGGAGCGATAATGAGGTACCCCTCTCTCTCCCAGACAGGGTAGAATCAGTGGATACTCCCCTCAACAATAACCAGGAGCCTCTCTATCCCCAGGTATCAAAGGAGGCAGAATAGAGAGCCTGGATTCCATTCTCATTGGGTGATACCCCCCTCTCTCCTGCCAGAATAGTGGCAGTAGATACTTATTTAACTTAATTAAAGTGAAAGTAAACTCCTCTGAGGGATAAGGTGTCAGAAGAACTTCACGTTTTATTTGAGCATACATAATCCAACCCAAAATACCTATGATGAAACTGCAGTGTCATGAATGGTAGAACGTTATTAATTTTTAATTTAATAATATTTACTTTGTAGTATTTGAATTAGTACTAAGAGAATAACCAAGAGTACTAAAGAGTAACTAAGTTCTGTGTTGTATTTTTAAGTTTAGTCCCAAAGTGCTGGGATTACAGGCATGAGCCACCATGTGGCCGGGCATGGTGGCTCATGCCTGTCATCAGCACTTTGGGAGGCTGTGTTGGGTGGATGACTTGAGGTCAGGAGTTCGAAACCAGCCTGGCCATCATGGTGAAACCCCATCTCTACTAAAAATACAAAAATTAGCTGGGCATAGTGGTACACGCCTGTACTGCCAGCTACTTGGAGGCTGAGGCAAGAGAATCACTTGAACCTGGGAGATGGAGGTTGCATACTCTTATCTCAAAAAAAAAAAAAAAAATCCTCAGTTGTATTTTACTTCACCTCCACAGAGAGGAGACAGCAGAGTGGCAGCTCTTTCAGTTATGAACTTATACTTAGATATTTGCAGAGTTGGAGAATAAAAGGACTTAGCTCTAGGTGAGAAACTAATTTACAAATCCATTAAATTCATTTTCAGCTCAGTTATGTCTAAGAGACAAATAATAAGTGCAATTTTTGAACTATTATTTTTTTCCCTTATTAGCATCTCAGAAACCTTATGAGCATCTAAATATAAACATTTAAATTTTGGATGAGTAATAGCTGGCTTTTGTTAGTAAAACAATTTGATAGCAAGAGAGTTCCTAATGGTAGGAAGCTGTAATGAAAAATGTGTGGGTTATGATGGAAAATGGGATATCATCATTTGAAATCTTAGGACTGTCATGGTAGTTAACAGTTCAGCAAACTTTTTCTGAAAAGAGGGCCAGATAGTATACAATTTTAGGCTTTTCAGGTCATGGAGGTTTCTCTTCCATATTTTCCTTTGTTTTTTTGTTTTGTTTTTTTATAGCCTTTTAAAAATGTAAAAATTATTCTTAGTTCACAGGCCTATAAAAATAGGCTGAAGACTGGATTTAGTGGAAGTCTTTCCATTCCTGCCTTATCTTATTAGCAGATTGACTAAGCCCCTCTTTGTTTAGTTTGTTTAGTTCACAAATCATAAAGCCAACTTTTTTTTCATAGCACAAAGACATTTTATAGCATAGCATCTGAATATACAAAGTATCTTTAGGTTCAGATAACTTATGCTGTAGTTTTTCCTTTAAAGTCAGTTCCTTTCTTGAAGAAAAAAATAATATTTCTTTTTTTCTGTTTCTGTTACGGAAGAGGTTTTAAATTTTTGTCTTTTTTTCTTTCCGTGTGAATTTGAGAAAAAATAAAAGGTTTATAGAAGTTTTTTCCATAAAATTTATTTGTGCATTAATTGATAGGTAACAGTATAAAACATAGCTACTTGAATATTCAGAATATATTTTGTACATAAAAAGAATGTCTGGTTAAGCTTTTGGAAACAGAGAAGGAGTGATTGTATCAGGACACTTGATATGCCTCAGCTTGTACTGGAACAGTTTTTAAGTGTTGATTCTGTACCCTAACTGTTCACACTTCTGATACTGTGATTCCATAGCCCATAAAGGACTTAATGGCCTCTTAGTGATTTTTCTTTAACCATGGCAGAGCTCCAGCTCCTTGACTCATGCTTTTTCAAAGAATTTGAAAAAAACTTTAGTGTCCATTTTGATCATTCACTTTGATCATCTGTCATAGTTATCAGACTTTTGACTCTATCAGAAAATAAAATTTGAATTATATCAGAATGTCCAGTAGATTGTTTTATATGCTTTGAGGTTATTTTAAAGAAGAAATTTGAAGATTTATGAGTAGTGACCATATCTTTGAAATAAATATTGGATCATCCTATAAAATGATTATGTTGAAATAAACTATGCTGAAATAAACTACATATACAATTTTGGCATGTAAGTGATAGAAGCTATTTGAGAGTAAAGCATTTTAAAGCATTAAAGGAGTATGGGAAATATATTTTTATATAGGAATAATGAATGTATTAGTTATGTTTCCATTAGAATGTGAGCTCCTTGAGGACATGTTTTTTTTTTTTTTTTCCATCTGTTTTGTTCACTGCTATATTCATAATACTGAAACCATGCCTGGCACATAGGAGGTGTTCAGTAAATACTTGTTACAGGAATAAATGCATCATTATTATCAGTAAATATAATTTTAAAAAATTGTATTGTGAGGCCGGGCGCGGTGGCTCAAGCCTGTAATCCCAGCACTTTGGGAGGCCGAGGCGGGTGGATCACGAGGTCAAGAGATCGAGACCATCCTGGTCAACATGGTGAAACCC